AGACCTGGTGGAGCCCATCCCCCTGCAGAGCAAACCACAGCTGATGTCGTCCAATTTGAAGGCTCGCTTTAGTCACGGACTACAAGGCCGTTGATCCTATCGGGTAAACCCTCCTGCCTGGAGGTTGACTTCAGTCTAGGAAGCCCTCTACACAGTCATAAACCGCAATGACTGTATACATAGCTATGGAAGTTCAGTCTACCCCATTTTGCTAGATGGTGTTTGATTCGAGAAGGAAATTAACTCATCCTTCGCAGACATTTCAGCTTCATTTGGATGAAGGATTTGAAAGAGAAGTTTCCACCGAAACATTTCCTTACATTGGACGTTGACATCTGAAGATCTGAAAATGGTCGTTAGTGCAACGGTTATGAGATGTAAAAATGGAATCTGAAAAACCGAATTCTAGTTTTTGGTTGGGAATGCTTATGTTTATTTGGCACTGAGTCTCTTTAGGAAGGCATGACAACACTTCTCCCTACACTCTGTTCCATTGCCAACTATCCTGACTATATGGGCATATGATGAGTCACACAGCAAACTGGATGATTGTTTACGCAAACCGCCCACACTTAATTACATTATGCTCAATCAAGAAAAGTAGTAAGCTGTTAACTCATACATTAAGAAAATATTAAATCTCTACTTGTTGTGAAATAGCTTTACAAAAAATTAATTGTACCTATTCTGGTTATAAAGCCAAGGCAGCTGACAAGGCTTTACTGGGGAATGAGGAAAAACTTGAAGGAGACAGCAGATATCGGTTTGTCAACCAGGTGTATCGGATTATTACGGTTTTCAAAACAATATGGTTTTCTTTTACTCGCTGTTAAGGAGAACCACAGACCCCCTGGTGTAATTTGAAATCTCATCAAAACTTGTATTCGACGTTATAAAAATAGACCGATCCGGTGAGTACCTTTATGAAAGTTTCTATTGCCCGCTGTTTTCTGAACATAAGACACTTTTTTTTCTCGTGGGTTACACCTGACGAAGTCTGAAGAATAGATCAACCGAAATAACGACTTCTTCTCCTTTGTGCCGTGTCCCTTCAGGATGTGGGCGATCATGGCTCTCCACAACTGCCTGTTCTTTGCAGCTCTTAGTAAAATTTGTCATTTTGTTATCTCTCCTAAAACCTGTTCTCTCAAATAAAAAGAAGAGATTTTAACAGCTGAGCAATGTTGGTGATATTAATGACTTTTTTACGTGTTCTCAGATTTTATGTTAAAATACTCTGCGGAGTTTCTTTTAAAATTTTTTTTAGTGGCGGGGGGGGTCTTCTTGATTGAGCTGAAAACGTTTCGGCACCTAATCATACATTGCTAACATTAATTTTAAGCAATTTCAGTAAAATAAATGAATTATTTTCTTCTTCTATGTACCGTGTTGATTCATGGTTCCCCACAACCTCCTATACTTGCAGTTCTTAGCAACTTTTTCCTCTTTTTCGATCCTTCCATCTCTGGTTTTCGCGGTCCATTCACACAAACTGATCAGGTTGGTACCTCACTACGTTCCCTCAGTAACTTTTGTCACCGATATAACCTGTGAGTGTTAAATTCTCCAAGCCGTATTTCCTCATGTGTTCGAGATAATTCCTCTGTCTCTTTCTGAGCCTGAGCCTGTGTCTTTTTGTTTCCATTTTCCTTGGGGCTTCTTCGTTGCTTGCACGCTCCGTTCATAGGATTCTCAAATGAAATATAGATTTCTGAATTGTCTAAACAATTTGTTAACACTCTAATTCTTACTTTTTGATTTCTTTTACTGTTAGCGTATTTTTCGCTGCCTAATACAACAGTGTCTTAAGAATTGGCAGTGGCGCTGAAATCCTTTAAAGTGCCAAGAAGAGAGAAAATTAATAAACTGTGTAATTTCCTTAAAAAAATGCAACCCTCCTCGTCTATTTGAGACCTAAGAGTATGTAAATTAAAAGATAATGACGTATCACGACGCCGTGGAAGATGTCTATATAGTTAGATTTGAAAGGCTCCGACCAGTAGTCACCGTGGCCTAATCGAAAAAACAGCTGCCGCGTTAAGATAAAGCTTCACTAAAAAAATGGATTTTCGAGGTGTAAGAAAACACTAAAATTAACGTTAAATAATTACTGTTCACAAGTTGTTTCGTTTCAATTCAATGTTTTTCTAAAAATGTACGATAATCGAATGTACCAAAATTCGTCAGTTTTTTTTTTGTTTTTGAATTTGCAGCAATAAAAAAAATAAAAAAAATTCTCTTCAATCAAAACTGTGGATATTTACACTATGTGCGATTTTAGTCAACATTTTCGAAATAAAATTCATATTACCGTATATAAGTCAACTTTCTGTATAGTGCGTCCTCTGAATTTTGGGGGCATGAATTTTAACCCCTCCAGAAAAAATTTACCTGTGCAACCATTCACTGAAAATGAATGATACTTAACCTTCTCAAAAAAATTAACTTTGTATAGTGCGACTCCCACCCCTATTTGTTGCATTAAAAAAACTGATCATAAAAACTCGCCTTATACTCGAGCAGATGCGGTAACCAACAGAAACAGGCAAAACAATCTGGATATGTTTAGGATAAATATTAATATAAGTTTCTACTGGACATAAAGTAGGGGATCAGTTCTAATATAGGTTTGTATTTCAAATCAATTTCCTATTGTTATTAAGTAATAATTTCACCACCACCACCCCTCGAAATACAACACGGTGTCAGATTTTATTATGCAAGTCAATGTTTTCACAATAAAATTAATATTAACCAATTGATGTTGGGAAATCTTTCAGGATAGATTTATGTTAAATATTAGTATGTTTCTATTGGATATAAAGAGGAGGGTCGTTTTTCTATTGTTAATAAGTAATAAACTGATCACCCCCACCGAGAATTACTACATGATGTCAGATTTTATTATGCAAGTCAATGTTTTCCAATAAAATTGATATTAACCAATTGATGTTGGCGAAGCTTTCAGGATATATTTACGTTAAATATTAAGTTTTTATTGGACATAAAATAGTGTGAAACGTGAGATCGAGAAGTCGCTATGACTCGCTCTAGTAGGAGGGTTAGCATCAGCCATGTCGACTGAAGACAAAATTGATTTCCTATGATGCCTAAAAAATAACAATCACGATTCTGGAGCCATTTCATGTCCGAATTCATTTTTCTGCTGTTTCGAATTTAACATCCAGTAGTTTTAATGCCTACTTCCCAAAGAAACCTTCTTTGCTTGAATATTCTTTGCTATACTCACACAGATCTCTTTCCATGACAGATCACGAAGATTAATTTCTGTAGAGACTTGGAATCATTCAAGTAATTCGGTGTTTTTAAAATCTTTTTTCGTAAACTGAGTTATTGTTAGCTTTGAAGAACATAAAAAACATTTCGCTGCATGGATATACTCTTTAATTTAAAGCTTTTTAATTATAACCTGTACCAATAATTATTAATTAATAATTATTAATTAATTATAACCTGTACCATTAAACAAATTATGACCTGTACGATTAAAAATTATGACCTGTACTATTAAAAATTATTATCTTTACCATTAATTATTATTAATTAATAATTATTAATTAATTAATTATAACCTGTACTATTAAAAATTATTACCTGAACCATTAAAAAGTATTACCTGAACCATTAAAAGTATTACCTGTACAATTAAAAATTATGACATGTACCATTAAAAATAATCTGATTCAAGAGCTTACTCTTTCTCTTTATTTCTCTTGATGTACCCTCAAATTTGACAGAACCTTTACAATACAAACCCAAAGTATTGCACTTCCTTTCTGTCTTCCAAATTGGTTTGCCTATTTCTATGAAAGACCCAAACAATATCCCAGCCATCAGACTATCTGACAGTGTAGCAATTCTAGGTGGTATCAGTTTATTACTTAATAACAATAAGAAACCGATCCTCAACTTTATGTGCAGTAAAAACATTAGTATTTAAACTCAATCTGTTCTGAACGTTTGGTTAAATAATTGGTTGAATAATTGGTTATTTTTTACTCTATTTACATGCGGACCATTTTTTTTGTTGAGTTCAATCCCTGGGTCAGGCAGTGGGTGTAGATTAAATAAAGTGTTCAGTTCTATATTCCATATACGTTCTCCGAATCGATATACAACTGAGGAAGTCCAAAACATTGTGATAACAAGAAACAAATATAAGTACAATAGAAAAATCAGACAAAAATTATCAATTAGTTAATATCAATTTTATTGTGAAAACATTGTCTTGCATAATAAAATCTGACATCGCGTCGTAATTGCAGGGGGGGGGCAATTTATTACTTAATAACAATAGAAAAATGATCCAGTAGAGACATTAATATTTAATGTAAATCTATCCTCAAAGTTTTGTCAACATCAATTGGTTGATATCGATTTTATTGTGAAAACATTGACTTATATCATAAAATCTGACATCCGTGTACTAATTCTAAGGGTGATCAAATTATTACTTAATAACAATAGGAAATTGATTTGAAATACAAACCTATATTAATATTTAACGTAAATATATCCTGAAATTTTTCTCAAAATCAATAGGTTACTATACATTTTATTTTGAACACATTAACTTATAATAGTCAAATCTTCAATAATATCGATAAGTGTAAAAAAAAGCTATTTTTTTCCTTAACATGCGGAAATTAGGATTTAAGTCTGGCTGGAGAATTAAACATATTTCATCCAAAATTCAGCGTTTGTTTACAAACATCACCCTCCTGACAAACGTCATATGAATTTTATTCCTCATTTTCATTCTAAAACTTTACAAGTATTTTTTTACTTGTGAAGTTTACGGTCGTAATCTTTCTGTAATTATTTTTTTTTAATAATCTCCACCGATAACAACAAATGAAAGTAAAATCAAAATACACTGACATAAAACTGTCAGATTAAAATGAGAAGGAGTTTATTCATTTTTTTTTTTTTTTAACACGCTAATTGATTATTAACAGGTAATAGTCATTCCCACTTTATCAATTTAAAACAACGATCACGGGATAGATAGATAGATAGATAGATAGATAGATAGATAGATAGATAGATAGATCAATCATGTAGGTTTTGTAGATTTTGCAAGTTTGCAAATGTACCGATTTCGTCATCGAGGAGATTGGTTGTATTATATTCGTTTTCTAAGTAGGTGTTTTAAAATTCAGAATTCTTGAATGTTCCTCAGATACAACACCGGATCGAATGCGCTAAACCCAATCCACTGATATGATACACACACACAGACACACACACACACATATATATATATATATATATATATATATATATATATATATATATATATATATATATATATATATATATATATATATATATATATATATATTTATATAAGCAATTTTATATGTATTATTTATATATTATATATGCGCGGTACTTATTGGAAAGCGCTCAATATCAGTGATAGAGCTAACAAACTCACATAGATCCAACTATATATATATTATAGGTGTGTTTTTGCTCATCATCTATAGTGTTCGTTTATTCGGTGTAATAAACAAGTAATTACATGTCTTAGGTAAACAAATTCGTTCTACATCGAAATGGACACATCAACTGAATGAAGCTCTTACACAGATTTCTTTCTATGTAATTCTTGCTGTTATATCTTATGTGTGAGTCAATGTGTTTGTTTTGAATAAAATCGGTACGCCGGGATTGAACACAGGTTCAGCTTTGATAATGTCTTTGGGGAGAGAGAACTTTGGTCAATGTGATTTATTTGTGCGAATATACATATTTAACACACACACACACACACATATAGATACACACACACACACACACACACACACACACATATATATATATATATATATATATATATATATAGAGAGAGAGAGAGAGAGAGACAGACAGACAGACAGACAGACAGAGATGTTGAGGAAAAGTTCGATCAGTAGGGCTACAAAACAAAAGAGGACACACATTTAACCAGACGACAGTTCGTCATAGTAGTAGGTGTAGTTACAATTAGGAGGGGAGTAGTCCTCGCTGTTGGTACAGTTGAATTGACAGTCTCCACAGGTAACTCCAGTTATGATTGGACACCTTGCTTCAAAATGTGAGGTAGACGAAAGGTGTGCGCTTTTTAAATTAACTTTTTCGTCCTATATTGCTATGTCCTGATCTCAAAACTGATGGCTGCTATAAAGAAAATACGTGTCTACGTTTCATGGGAGTTTAAAACTGTGTCGGCAATCCTTACCCGAATACTATACCCGAAACGCTTAAATCAGGTAAGCATCAGGCATAATAATTATTTTAATGTGTCTGTCCACCTGTATGTGTGTGTGTGAAAGAGAGACAGAGAAAAAAGAGAGGTAGAGATGACATACATATACTGAGGCGAGTAAAACTATTTTTTTAGATATCTAAGTACGTAATTTTTTTTTTATTCAGCAACGTTGAATTTGACTCATATAGACTTCCCCTAAAATCAAGTGACTTAGTATTTCGCTTTAAATTATTTGTTTAAAATAACGTCTTTATTAGTAAGACAACAACAGATATTTAAGTAAACACGTTTTATATGAAAGAAAACAAAACTTTATCTGTAGTCGACGAAGCACAACTTTAGACCTATTTATTATTTGTACATATATATATGTGTGTGTATGTGTCTGTGTTCAAATTACTTTTAGGTCTTTTTGTATATTTACCCAATTATATTATAGCGACAATTCATTATTACTTTTCCTTTTCTCTGTTTCATATTCAAAGAAAACCTATTAAATTTGACTGAGATAGTTTTGTCGAAAAGTCAAATGACAACAGACAGTTAAGTATTTCGTGATAAATATTTACGGACTTTTACGTACGATATTTTTTTATTTTTATTTTCCTATAAATTCAGTAGAATTATCAATAATTAAAGATTAGCTCATATCCTTTGACGTCTCTCTCTTGATGTACACCATTTAGTAAGATACTGCACCAGGCAAAGCGAAAACAGAATTCGTCCACTAGTTGGAGCTTTCTTTTGCCTTGAAACTCGGTATTCAAGGTCCTGTTTGACAATCATTGACATCTGTTAATATATTTATTCATACTGTTAAATTATTAAATTCCAGTGAAGTCGATCAAATATTTATCTGCAAAATGAATTCCTATTTATACAGCGTGGATACAAACATACACAAAGGTCTCTTATTTCGGGCTTACGGCCAGATCATGTTGACTCCCAATACGATGCTTCACTACAATCTTAACCTGTTCAACTCTGATCAACACTTATCTCCCCGCATATCCCCATAAACTGTGCCTCTTACTCCGTGACCCTCTACCTCGAGTGGCTCCCAGGCCATGTACAGAGTGAATATCACTTAAGAACAAAACAAAAAAAAAACACCGGTTCCCGTACGATTACCGAAGTTAAGCTTAAGCAACGTGGAGCCTGGTCAGTACCTAGATGGGTGATCGCTTGGGAATACAAGGTGTTGTAAGCTTGGATGGTGTAATGGATAATGGCTCGGAATTGTAAATCGCGGAGACATGTTCCAATTCACGTCGAGTTTGTTATATTCACTTACGCGTAAATAGCCTTGGGAAACATAGACATGAATCCACCTTAGCCTCTTCCCAGCTATGGGCTAATTAGTAGGACTTGTATCAGTAAAAATCATTACTATCTCAAAAAAAAATTCGTACAATCTAAAAATATATTCTGGCTTTAAAATACTCTGCAAAAGGTTGGTAAGTCATAAAAAACAAATCACACACACACACCTATAATAGAGAAAAGAGGGCATCTCGAGGTGGTGTAATAGTTAGAAAGCTTGTCTCGCTAGAACAATTACGACTGAGTAGTGAGTTCGATCCTCACTGGGTGCCCCCTATTTTCGGCCTTGTGCCACATGTAAGCTACGCTTGGAAAATCACAAAGCAAAAGTAAAGAAACCAAAGAATTGACTGGTGTGGTGTAATGGATAATGGCTCGGAATTGTTAATCGGAGTGCCGAGTTCCAATTCCAGTTGGGTTCGTTATATTCACTTATGTGCAGATATTCTTGGGATAGTTTCCTTCCTAACCTTTTGTTTGGTTTATGTTCACATCATATTGAAACACCAGTTCTCATACAACCACCAAAGTTAAGAAACATCAAGCCTGGTCAGTACCATGGCAGGTGACTGCTTGGGAATACAAGCTGCTGTAAGCTTGGATATGCAAGTGGTGTAATGGATAAGGGCTCAGAATTGTTAATTGGAGAGCCGAGTTCCAATTCCAGTTGGGTTTGTTATATTCACTTACGCGCAAAACCTCTTGGGAAATGTATGAATCTACCGCTTCTCCCCTAGCTATGGGTTAATTAGTAACACTTGTATCACTAAACTATTATTATCTCCAAAACAAATCTCGCAATCTAAAAATATTTTGCAGCTTTAAATAACCTGCAAAGGGCTGATAATCCGTAAATAAACGAATCAATTAAGCAAACACTGATTAGCTACACATGCATGCCTGTTAGATTTATTTACATTCTCTGGAATATAAAAGTTTAGAAACTATCGTGGCCACAAATTGAGGGATCATTTTATATACTAATTGTGACATAAAATTAATCCCCAACTTTATATCCACTTTATAGTTTCTTGTTTGTTTATAAAATTCTGATGAGTTATGAATCCACCTCTTCTCTCTCCAGTTATGGGTTAATTAGTGACACTTGCATCAGTAAATCAATATTATCTCAAAAACTTCTTACCGTCTAAAACTATTTTCTGGCTTTAAATAAAGGTTGATAAACCCTAAAAAAATGAATTAATCAAATCAATCAAATCTTGATTCGAAGATGTACAAAGAAAAGAAAATGAATCGACAAGTTATTCTGCGATTTATAAACACCCGCGTCAACGTTTCATTTCGCTTTTAATCTTTACAATCGTCAAAGCGAACATCAAAGTTATGTTAAACTATATTCGGCTACTATTATTATCTGATATATACGAGAGACGAAAACAAGAAGAATTGTAAATTCTATAAGTATATTTTGTTCAATTCTCGACAGTTTTAGGATCTGCGACTATACTGCGGAAGGTCCTATAACACATGAATATATATTTCTTATTACTAAAAACTATATTTTAATAGGTACAGTTGCGTGAGTTACTATACCTGTTTTATTTGGTTATTTTTTCTTAAACAGTAATATTAATAACAACCGGTTTAGATCGTGAAAATGGTGTTCTTTACTAAAGTTCAAGTCAACGTGCAACTCTTGTTCAGGATTGGAAGCCTATCTCAAATCTTGTCGTTACACAGGGAGCAAAGATTTTTAGTTTCGCTTTGGGTTTGCGGTAGTCTGCTGCTTTAGTTGGTTTAAGGAAGTGTGGCTTTTTACATTTGGAGTGACTTATTTAATTGAATTAAGTGTAAGATTTATTTATGTCATTTACTCCTGACTTGCTAGATTATTTGACATTTTCACTGCAAAAACCAATAAAGTTCACTAAAAATATAATTTAAGAAATTTAAGAAAAATGTTAATTTAACTTTCAAGTAACATACTTGAAAGTTAAATTAACATTTTTCACTTAAAGTTAATTTAATTTTTCAGGGAAATTTGTATTCATAAAAGCTGTGGGAACATTGTTATTATTATAAATAAAAATAAAATATAAAATAATGATGAAAATTATAAATAAAATAAAATAAAATTTAAACCTCGTTTAAAATAAATAAATAAATAAATAAAAAATAAAAATAATAAAATTACTCCCAACATGCAACAGGGACTGTTCCTACCGGAATACGGACATCCCGCCAAGAGACGTGTCATTCAATCTCTTTGCCCAAGGACTGTCGTGATGTGACTTCCATCCGTGATAGGACTTGTGATACTACGGAGTGACTTACTCTCTTTTATAGCATGAACCTTATCAAGATTGTAATAATGTAAA